CTTCACAAAAAAATACGATACCTAAAGTAAATGAATTTAAAAAAATTAAAAATCCTAATTGAAGCTTTGTTTTGGTTTTAATTTGAAGCTAATAGATTAAATTTAATATTTCCAATGAGCAAAATACTTTGCTGTATTTCAAAAACTAATTTAAATTGGAAAGAATTTTTATTTTTTGTTTTTGCTAAAGTAGCTGATTAGTGACCCCTTTTTTAGTCACTTTTCAACATATAATTCTCTTTATTAAAAAATCTTCCAAAAATAAAATTCTGAAATTTTGAGGAATATTAACTGATTTAAAGTATAATTAAGCTGATTTGAAACAAATATTTACTTTAAGTTTAAAATGTCACAGAAATGCATTTTTTTTAACCCAGCACTATTTGTTTTTAACCAAAAGTTGCTGTTTATGTGTTTGACAAGGTGATAACAGATTTAATGTTGTTTTACAGAGACTTTATTTGTAAAACATAACTTTACTCAGTAATCTTAGTAAAAATTTTAGTTGATCTTTGAGCCCTGCATTCCTGAACAAATTTTAACCCTTCTGCCTGAGCTCCTGAGTCAAAATTCACAAATAATTGGTATGTAATGTTTCATGGTAGATATAAAAATAGTTACAAAAAATATAAGCATTATACTTAGCAAGGAGAGAGTATGATTGCATGCCTTCACCTTATCACCAGAATTCTTTATGTGCCAGTCTACCCAGCAGGTGCCACCTCTCTTGATGTACAAGAAGCACTGGCATGTTGTGCAGCAGACTGAAGACTTCATAGCCTTGACAGGAGTGTCTTTGTAGGCCACAGTTGGGTTTTTCTGCTTGAATTTATTGCATTTATAAGAGCACACAGCACAAAGGTTGTTAGTGGAGGCATCTTCTGGTATCTCTGGGAGGTGGAGGCTGACATTTTGTAGGCATTCCAGAGCATCAGCATTGTTTGACTGCCTCCACACTGCAGCTGGCCAGAATGCGCCTACCAAATCCCCCTATTATTGATTTAGGAACTTTCTGAAGCTGAGGGACTTTGCTTGCTGGGGGAAAGTTGCCTGGAACAACACATGTCCATTGTAGATGACCCACATGAAAAATTGACAAAGAGACATCTTGGCCATTGGTGATGATGCCGCGTCTTATATAGACGTGTCGTCTGGTCATTTTTGTCAGCTCATCCCCCCATGTAGTGGTTGTAGTCACTAACCAGGTGAGGTTGTGACATGTTGACAGGAAATTGATGGGTTTTTTCATTCCACACCCTTGCCACAATGCCATCTTTGAATTGACAGTCACCGTCACCATGATTTTTCATTTTCTTTATTTTTAGGCTTTGTGGTTATTTCTTACTGTTGGTCATGGTTGTTCCCATGGCAAGATACTGGAACAAATTCACACTGTTGTAGTATCTATCCATTACAAGGATGTGATGCTTTCCCTGGGCATTAGCTGAAGTCAGTAGGCAATACACAACGTTGCCAATCACTCCAATTCCATCAATGTCCTGTGCTGTTTTGCTGGTGTAGACCTCTGCTCTCATTATGTATCCAGTTTCTTCACAGAGCATGAATGACTTCAAACCAAATTTGGATGGCTTGTCTTTGATGTATTGTTTGATGGCAAGTCTGGAGTGGAATTATTCCTTCATTCAAATTGGGGTGTCGTCTGGGCACATAATAGTGTTGTAATTTCACCAACAGTGAATTTAACATTGGTTTGAACTTGTAGATGGCATTTGCTTTGTCAGTTGTAGCATCAGTTTCATCTATAACATGAAAAAAAGCCCAGATGGAAAGAAATCTGTCTCTTGACATTACTTTTCAGTGTTTCTGACAAAGAGTTATGTTCATTCGATTCCCAGTACTTCCTGAATTGAGGCTTGATTACTGTTATTTCCATTTGCAATCTCAACCCAAGGAAAGCCTTTGCTGCTTCTTCAGTCGGTTTATCTTTGAATATATTGCTATAGTAGCAGTAAGGCTTTGCTTCCTTGATCCAGTCTTTGTGCTGGTTTGTCTTATTTACAAAGTTTTGCCAGAACTCATCATCCAGAAATAAGTTGATGTAATTAATTGCATGAGAGCTTTCATTGTTACTTTCTGGAATGTTCTTTGCTCTGCATTCAGAATCATCAAACTCTGTCATTTGCCTCATGTAGCTTATTCCAACAATCTCAATCTTCTCTTACATCTTCTCTAACCACCAGAGTCTGTGAGGACAGGCCTCTTTTCATCAGATTATTCTGCATGCTCAGTTCCATTTTCACTATCTGTAGCAAAATCATCCGATTTGAATTCCACTTCACTCTCAGAGTAATTATTGTCATACTCCAGTTCCGATAAATCATGAAGCACATCAATTACTTGCTGCGCCATGTAGAGTTCTCTTCTCACACGTTTTGTCTTTAATTGTTTCCCTGATGGCCCAGGTTGAGATTCTGCATGCTTCATAGTAAAAACAATGTTTTTTTTTTTATCCAAAACACATACACAAAACACAAGGTAAAAGCATGGACATATTGGTATAATGTTTGATGACATCAGAATATTATGGCTTTTCTGATTGGCTCTTCAAAATAAGACAACCAATTGCAAAACATGATGCAAGTGTTTACCCATTGTTCAACCAGTGGCTGGGTATTGTCATTTTTCTCTACCACTGGTAAAGCGGTGGTCAGGGCTCGAAGGATTAAATATTCTCTGTAATCTAATGTTTTACTGAATTTTAGAAATTTTGGCTATAAATTTACTATAGTTATCACTCTTATTTTCTGATAATGTCATGCATGGTTGTTTGTACTTTATAAAAAAATGATTTGTTTATACACTAATAAGAAAAATTCAAAATTATTTTTAAAATATTGGTGTTTGATGGTGTTTCTTTTTGACAAAAATAAAATGATTTAAATTCTCCAAGGAGTCCTGCTTTTAATTAATATAAATACAAAGACCCTGGAATTTTAATTTCTTGAAATTCCATAAAATTAAGTGGGTGTTTGTTTTTTTTTATTTTTACTGCAAAAAAAGAAAAAATGCTAAATTTACTACACTAATCTTTGGCCCACCTCCTGATGCAGGAAAGACAAGATTTTTAACCAAAATTTTGAATGTGCTAGAAAGAATTAAAAAAAAATTAATAAAATTGTAATCATTAATAAAATAATGATACCTACTTTCATGTCATAAAGAATTGTTTACAAAATGTTTTACCTGAACTTCTTTACTATTCATATTCACATCAAGCTCTTTAAAGTTATTACTGAACTAGAATTCAGAATTTCACTATCTGAACAATAACATTTGATTAATCACAGAGAAAAATATAAAATTACAATGTCAACCAAAATAATGAACACCTGAAAAAGTAGACCTGGCAAATATGTCTATAGGAACCTCCTTAATAATCAAAGATGAGAACAATGGTTTGAATAAATCAAAGTATACTGACAATTCCTAATTTCAAAAATCGAGCAAAACTTTCATTAATTTGGCGAAATATCATTAGAGGATTTATTCAAGCTAATTATAGAATTTTTTTATAATATTCTCCCATCATTTTGGGCTACAGCTGTTCAAATAATGAACTGCTATTCTGGATGTTGTAAGAAATAAGGGGACAAGTATTTCTATAAGGAATATTTTCTGTTGACTAGGTCACTCAAAGGAAAATTCTTATCTAAATCATTTTAATTTACTTATAACTTTACTGTTTGTGTGTTCAAGAGAATTGATGCTTTAAGACAAAAGTAATTACCTTGATGCTGTTAGCTTTCCAGTTTGACATAGAACCATTACTTTTATGTTCATATCTTTTTTTTTTTTTTTTAATCATTTCACCCCAAGCAAGGCAGTAAAACAACTAAGACAATAAGGGCTTACTGAATATAAGAGAATATGAGAAAAAGAAAACACTGAGGAGGGATAACAATAAAAGGACAGGAATTAAGAAAAGATAACAATTGATGTTGCATTTCATCCAAATTTGTAGAAAATTGTAATTCAAATAGCACCTCACAGTAGCATAGGTGCTTTCTTCTAAAAATGTGTTGCATTAGCGGTATGTGAGCAAACTTAAAAGATTAAAACTTGAAAGCTGAATTTTATTTATTTTGGTTAATTACTGATATTGCACTTAAGACATCTGAATGACATTATGGAAAAAAAAAACACCCAGTTTCTTTGTATTCTTTATATAGCCTGTTTTCTTATTTTAAGATGGCTTTATTTTTCAATTAGAACTTTTTGTAAGATTTTTCTGCTTAGTTATGTTATAATTGTTGAGGTAGTATTCAATAATTCTAAGTTAAATGATAAAGTTTCTACACATGAAATGGAAATTTTAATCTTGAAAGTCTGAGTAGAGATTAGTCATATTACTTTTCAAAATCTAATGTCAAATTCTTAATCTATATAAGACTAATTTTTTCTCAAAGCTTTCAGAATTGCAAAGAATGGAGATTAAGTCAATTTATCTTTTATGTGTTCTAAAATCAGTTTCTAAGATCTATCTAGTTTTTGCATATAAGAGAATAATTATAACTCCTTTGGTTGTTTTCATCAACTATTTTATATATGTGCCATTTTTCTACAAATCCTTTTCAAATTGTTTTTCTCATGCCTTCATTCATTCACATTTCAAACTATGTTGCAGTAAGGTTTCAATTTAAAACTACCTTGCTAAATTCTAAAATATATTCTTTGTTATGAACACTGTTTCTAATTAAATTCTTTCAAAAATATGGATACAATTCTGTGGCAAAGTCGTCATTCTCTTTTCAATTTTGATATTTTTTTTATTAAAAATTCTATGTAATACTTTCATATCCTACACAATGTTGTTCTGTTTAAATTCTTTAGGCAGAGAGGTTAAAGCATTTCTGTAGAAATCTTTCCATTGTGATATTTGAGAACTGTTTTGTGTATAGCATAATTTAAAAAAAAAAAAAATTCCTTAAACTTATAACAAGTAACCTATTTTTTTTTTTTTTTTTTTTTTTTAAACACAGTGTAGTAATGGTCATCTTATGTGTGCTGGTTGCTTTAACCATCTCCTGGCTGATGCAAGGCTCAAAGATGAGACTGCCACCTGCCCAAACTGTCGATGTGAGATTAGCAAAGCAACCTGTTCTCGCAACTTGGCTGTTGAGAAGGCAGCATCAGAGTTGCCAACGGATTGTCAGTACTGCCAGCAACAGCTTCCGCGTCATCTGATTTGTCAACATGAAGGTCATCATTGTCTGGAGAGGTAAGGTGCAGAGCCACGGTAAGCATTGACTATAATAAACATAGCAGCTATCTGCAGCGTGTGTCTTGCTAACGCTGCTTGCTATAAAAGAAATCTTAGTCTAAAATAATGAGTTTAGGCTTGATTTGAATAAGGTTGCCACTTGTGTACTACGTGTGTCTGTCATGAGTCCGTTACCACATGGGGGATGAGAGCAAGTGCATGTGTTCTAGCGCTGCATGTCTCTAGCAAATGCATACATGCGCTTGCACATTTCTCATTGGTGACTGAGGACTGATCCTGTACTGTCATGAATGTTAACGAGAAACAAAATTTTTATTTTTCTGTTGTCACCCAGGACTGGAGTCAGCTAGCCATGGTCTACTCTCCCATTTCCTGAAGATGTGCAACGTTGCCTATTGGGAGGTTGAGCACTACTGTGACGTGTTAGAAAAGAGGCGGCAAGTATTGTATTGCTCCTTCTAGAATTCACCATGCAACTTCAACAACTGCAGACCAGGTTAGCTCGTCTCACACACACACACACACACACACACTCACATACACACACATACACACATACAACAGCACTACTACTAAAGTACTTTTTTTTTTGAAGAGACGAAGCCAATCTGGTCCCCACCAAATAACAAATCCTCTCACTGACCAATACTCAACTTAGAGAGAGGACAAGAGAAAAAAAAATCTTAGACAGGATTGGCAAAGCAACAGTTGGCAAATGACTGGTCATTCTCTTGGTCAGAAGAGATAACTGTTGATCTGCAGTGTGAAGATTAAAAAGTCAAGCCTTGAACAAGATGTGAGGAGAAGGAGGCCATAACAGAAGTGCAGGTGCTTGGCTGCTGTGGCTTTGACCCTCAAGCAGTCCAAGCCTTTGATCCAGTGAATGAAGCAGCAGGAGAGAAACTTGTGGGTTTGGACGTCCACAAAAGCGGGTGCGTCTCAGGTATATGTGAACAATTGATACTCACTTGATGATCACCTATTTAGAAAATTCAACATGCTAACATCATTTTACTACACAAAATACAAATATGCAGCTTGTCCTGACAGCTATTGCAGTAGTCCAAACCTATTACAGTTAATACTAAAATTTATGTATTATACAAAGTAACTATAAAATTATAAATGGTTGAACTGGCAAGTGAAATTGAGGTGAACTTTAAATTTGTCAAAGTTTTTTCTAGGGTGTTTTTTTTTTTTTTTTATATAAATACATATCTAAATCTTTGTCAGATTTTAGATTGCATGTTTTTTTTTTTTTTTATTCCAATATCAAAATAGTCTTTAAAATGTTTCATTAAAATGGAACAAATCTGTTCTGATAAAAATTTGTATGCTGCAATGACATTTCTAAATTGCCCACATTGAGATGTACATTTACAATTCTAATTTAACTCAAATATTTTAATTCACAAAAGTCAAAAATCCATGTTACTGTCTGCTAATATCTAATGAGGTCATTATGCATTAGAAAGTGTTTGAAAGATGAAGACAGTTTGAAAAGAATTTTGTCTTTTTTTTTTTTTTATATACTTAGATTTTGTTTTTAGTTTCAGGTGTGGCCAAGAATGGACGTGAGGTTTGTAGATGTGTAAATTGATAACTGCAGTAGAATTTTAAAAAAAAAACATTAGCATATGGTCTTTTTTTGATTTACTTCTCAAATTGAAAGAACTGCAAAAGTGTAATGAATTCTGTTTTAATCCCTTTTTCAATATTTATTCTTTTTATGTTTAACTTTGAAGAATGCCTGGTAAGTGTATAGAAATCTGTTGACAACTTCAAAAAAATGTTGAAACTCTAAAGTGCATTACTAGATGTAAATAGAAGTTGCAAGATGTAATCAACTTTCTTCCCCGGTAGCCATATTTGTTGCTGTTTCATTCTGCACATGGTTGTGAAAATGTCGCTTGTTAATTAAGAATTTCATTAATTTTGAATATTGTATTTTTCAAATGTCTTATTTTTTTTTTTCTTTGAAACAATTAGTTCTTTATAATATCTTCATTATTTTGAGATTTATCTGTTCATATCTTCTCTGAATGCTATACTACAGTTTTGCATGTGTAGCTTTTATCATTGTGATCATTGATTGTATTTGGAGAGTTTAATTGTACAATACTTTTATTTGACAATCTGAAGAGCATTGGCATTAGTTTAGGAATTAGTCTTCAATGTTGAATGTTTTAAATCTGTGTATTCTAAATTCAGGAATACTTTTTCAAACTGAATTCTAGCCATGTGGATCATTTGCTAAACTGGCTGTTGCTGTGTGAAGTTGTTAATCTCCAGGGATTCTACCGAAAGAAGTTAATGGAACGCTATCGTTAATTGCTGTGGTCATCACTACTGACAAGACTGCTTGCCTGGTCAGCTCAAAGTCCATTCTCCTGTCTACCTTTGATCATTGTTGTCATCATGGTCAATCCAGCTACACAGTTTGATATCAACTTTGAGTTAGAATGCCATGAAGCCATCGGCTTAGAGATTTTTATGAACACCACCACAAAACTGGCTGAAAGGAAAATGTCTAGAATTCAGTTTAACAAAGTATTTTGTGAATGCACATAAATTCATGAATTGTATTTTTGTCTTATGAATTTTTAAAAATGCTATTGTCTCTTTGTTTTTATGATTTTTGATGCATATTATAGTCCATATGGCTACTGGGGTAGTATACATTTTTATTTTTAGTGTAACTGAAATAAGTTATGATGTGTATGCTATTCTAAACTAGACACTGTCTTCATCTTTTCATAGGCAGAATAATGAAAATAACTTTTGAAAACACTGAATTTCAGCAAATTAACTAAATATTAACTACAGTAGAAATTTTGTGTTAAAATACACAACTAACTGCACATTGGAAAAAAATTTACAGTGATTTGTTCTGAAGTTGAATATACAGAAATAGCTTTTACATTTCAAAGATATCAAATTGAAATTGTTTCAGTGAATTAATTGTAGAAAAGTTTACAGAAACTATTCTTTGAGAAATATATGGATAAAAATTTCCTAAAATTTGGATTATTGTGGTAACATCAGGCTGCTGCATTCCATTTTAGGTATCATTTCACAATACTTTCATCAATTCATCTATCCATTTTATCTATCTCTCTTCAATTCCATCTGCTGCTGATTACTTCATTGATGAGGCTACATTAATCTTTTACTCATTTTCTTTCATTTTGAAAACATTTCATTGTTTATTTTCTGATTAGTCTTTATGCCTGTGTGACCAGCATAGTTGTCCTATGGAGAACATTTTAAATCTGATTAGGTAACAATTACACACACACACACACACACACACACACACTCTCTCTCTCTATGTAAAATGTTCATTCATAATTGCAGGATACAAAAATTTGGCAGACATTCAGATAGGGCAGGGAACAGGTTCTTTTTTTAATAATTGGGTGAAATTAATTTTCCTTCTAAACAAATTATTTCTACATTTTTCTATGTTTTATAAATGAGTCATTACTTTAGATCAGTTTGTGACCTTAGTGGATGTGATAAAAATAACTGACTCTCTATAGGTTTGATGCTATTATGTAATAGAGCTATTTAATTAAAATTTACTTCAAATAAGAAAAAATTCATGAGTGAATCAAACTTTAAAATGTTTTTGTTCATTTCTTTATTTAACTATAAAAAAAAAAAAAAAGCAGGGAAGGGTTGCTTAAGATTCTTTATTCATCTTATATAGGCTAGATTTAGACATTTCCTTTATATGGTTGGAAAACCATTTTAAAATTAAATCTTCATTTATAATTCTTCCATGGTCAAGGAAGAATACAGAAGGTATATAAATGCTAAAACATTTCTGAGAAGGTCTTTCCCCTTCAATTTATCGCATTTACTTTGAGAAGTTTTTTTACATAACTCACAAGTTAAATATTAGACAACATAAAACTTAAAAAGAAAAAAAAAACATTTTTTTCCTCATGTAAATATCTTGTGTATGTCTCAGCCTGTTTTTTTTTTTTTTTTTTTTTTAGTTCATTTTTCATTCATCATTTTAATGAATTTTATTTTAATTGCCTTAAAGTTTTGTTTGGAAGTTTTTTTACAACAGGAAATTATTAAAATGATTATATTTCTCTATTTTTTTTAATTCACAATTGTTTTTTTTGTTTTTTTTTTCTACTTAAATTTTTTTTTTCTTTATGTGAAAATCGTACCCACTTGGACAAAATGTAATATTTTATATATTTTTTACAGAAATAAAAATAATTTTCCTAATGTGAACTGTTTATAGTGATGGAAAGTGGCCAATTCTAATTGAAAATATTAAATATTTAATAAAATTAAGCTCTATTTTTATAAAATACTTAAATGTTTTAATAAAATGGAAAGTCATTTGTCTGCAATAAAATCAAATCAATTTTCTTGCATATTTCCATGTAAACTGTTTTTTTGTGTATTCAATAAATGGCTTCCTTGATTAGGAAGTGCACACTCCATTAACTTTTTTATATTGTTTTTTTTAAATTTTTCACTTAAAAATGGCGTTAAAAATTAGCATTCAAGGCTTTCCTTTTTTATGGAAATGAAACTTTTGAAAAAGAAAAACCTTGAATAATTCTAGACTCAACATTTACTGGATTCTTTGAAAAAGGTTCAAATTGACAGATGGCAGCCTTGAGTGGCTGATAAAAGAAATTAAAATATGTACATTTTTTTTTGTTTCTGATTTTCTTGGCAGACGCACATTGCAGATTATTAGGTCTGCTGTGTCTATATATGGTCATTGTTTGCAAGGAAAGCAACTTTGTTTGGCTATAATTTGTGTTTAAATTATATTACTACAATTTTGGATTCTACCTTTACACAATGAATATCCAATCTTCCCTTTTGGTATCAAATAAATAAGGAAATCAATATTTCTTTTTCTGTCATAGTAGGGGGCTGAGATCAAATGTTATATTTTGAGATGACCTTCAATGTTTATTAAAATTTTTACTCCTTAGTAAAATACCAGCTATTAAATTTATTTTTCTCAATGTAGTATATGACAAACGTTTTCTGTCCTTTCCGTTCTTTAGTGTTTAATTTTAAATTTTTCAAAGGATAGAATTTTTTATATTAGAATTTAGCTTCCAGCTATCTTATGTGCATATTATTTTGAAGATTATTGAATAAAAAAAAAAAAAAAAAAAAAAAAAGTGTAAGTTTCCACTTAAATTTAAAAAAAGAATTGAATGATAGATTAAGTTTCCTTTTTAAGATATATATATATTCATTCTGGTTTCTTGTTTGAGTGATTTTGAATTTATATAAGGAAAATATGTAGCACATTTTTTTTTTTTCCTCCATTAAAACAGGTGAGTATCCCTTAGGAGTGAAAAATGTTAAAATTTCTTTAAAATGTTTCATTGTATATTAGCTTTTTTACATAAAAGTTCTACTTTTAACATACATATGACTCAATACAATTTTATCTAATTTCTGTTTTAATTTCAACTTTAGTTCATATGGATGAAAAGATAATTTCTGTTCAACATTTTAAAATTCTATTTTAAATTCTTTATCAAATGTTTATTAAATTTAACAAACTCAACTTTGAAGGAATATAACTGGTTAATCTTTTTCCTTCAAATTTATTTCTGGGAATTAGTAATGCATTTATTAAACTGTATCAAAGACTGGTTGAGTGTATGGCTGGGTGAATGCTAAGTGTGTAATTCAGGTTGTTTGAAGTCTCTTGTGAATCAGTTATTTCCAGATCACTCGTCGACATTTTATTTGGTCAGCTCTTCTGAGTAAGTATATCATTGTCTGAACTGCTGTTGTTATTGGGTGTTGTTATGGCTTTTATTTTTGTGTTTTGCTCTTATCAGATATTTGATTTTTTTTTTTTTTTTTTCTTTTCTTTCTTTCTTTCTCATATAAAAGAACAAAATTCTTCCTTTTCCTTAAAAAAATCAAACATCTTTAACAATTTATAGAAGCCTCTTCTCTAAAGTCTTATCTTCTATATTCTACAGGCCAAGTTCTTGTAAATACACCCGGATTGGGTGTCCATGGCGTGGTCCGTTCCATGAGCTCAAAGAACATGAAGAATCGTGTGCTCATCCCCACAAAACTGGCAATGAAATCATGGATGCTTTGCAAGCAATTGACAAGCGCAGCACAGACCAGCTGAAGCTGTATGAGGAGATCTTTGCGCTTCTCTCTTATGAGAAGATAACATTCAATGGTAATGGGATGGAAACAAACTATTGAATTGGATGCCTAGACCTAACCAGATTTAGTACACACATTTTTAGTAATTTGCTAAAATTAAGCTTTTAAATATTGTCTTTAGGGAAGTCTTAATTTTTATCTAGGAAATTCTAATATTTTTTAGTTCATCAGTTTAAAAAGTTATCTTACCAACAAAAAAGTATTTCAAACTCTAATTAATTATCTAAATTTATTAATAAAATAATTTTATGTTAAAATATTTGAATAGTTTGAAAACATCTTGGTTAATATTGTACTCATTTTGGCATAGTGGTGTGTATTGTTAATACGGTGACTCTTATTAATGACGTTTTTTTTTTCTTTCTGAATGAAGATTTTCAGATTGGTTTCGGCGTGGAACCTGGTTGGTTGCTGGTGATACTAGTGTTGTCAGTGAGTGTCTGGTGGACCTACCTTATGTCTGAGACATACTCACACACATTGTGTCTCACTTGAGAAATAGGAGATTCACAGGACACTCTCTTTTTCTATTCATTTTCATTGAAGAGCATATGCCAACTAATGTAATGCTCTGTATTTCAGACCTCCAGTTACGTCCCTTCCGAACAGATGACTTCATCACAAAACTTTTCTACGAGACCAGTCGGTTCTCCTCCTTTCAACATCAGTGGGTGCTAAAGGCACGAGTGGATCACGACCAGAAGGACCCTACACAAAGCAGCAAGCGCACGCTCAGTTATCAGTTGGTTCTCAAGAGCCGCACTAGCAGCCCACTTAAAGTTTTATTCATGGCTCTTAAAGGGCCTTATGGAGACCTGAAGGTTACACCATCAGTTTATGAGTTTGAATTCTCCAATGACTCTACAGAGAGTGACTATCACCAGTTGCCAACAGTTGATGTGCTTGAATGTAACAAGCTGCTGGCGTCCAAAACTATCAATGTGCGACTTGTACTTTTCCAAGTGCAGCAGTAGCATATATTGGAGAAAACAGACCAAAAAATTGCAGGCCTTTATTTTTCTTCAGGCAAGGAAATAAACAAAACAAAACAAAAGAACAATAAAGGACCAGTTCCTGTGAAATTTTTGCTATTTTTTTTTTTTTTTTTTGTCAACAGGTTTTGTGAATATTTCTTTTTTTCCGGTAACTGAGAGCATTTTAAGTTCTTTTCCAAACTTTTATATTAATTGTATCATTTTGATTTTTCTTCTACTTTGGGTAAGGAAAAATTGCAAATTCTGTATAATTAGTGTTATTTTCTTTTTCTGGAAATAATTTTCTCCTATTTATTTTAACCATTAAATCAGCCTCTTTTGATCTTTCACAAATGTTTCCTAGAAATTTGGTGGAAATGTTATTGTTGTTCCACTATAATAATTTTCCTTGAACTCTACCAACAGATTTTGCTGTTTTCAGTGTAATTTAAATTTTTAGATATTTCTTTTTTTCCCCTATTGGCATCCGACCCAGCATCCACTTTCTAAATTAATTAATTTTTATTTAATTTATAATTATTAAAGAAAAAGGTACATTTGTTCTAGAAGCTCACCTGCAGTTGACTGTGAGAAACTTTTAACTTTAATTTTTGTTTTCTCCTTTGTCTCGTTTTTTTCACTCTTAATGTGCATCTTCCTGTGTCTGTGATGAAAATTGTGGGGGAAATGCTTTCCTTTTATTTTGATTTGCTCTTACATAATGAGAACTACACTGAATCTGGTTCACTACCCATTTTGCACACCACTAACCTCAATAAATTGATTGCCAGAAAATATGTACATAGTGTGTTACACTTGCTTGATTTGAGTTGTTCGATATTTTTTTTTTCTTTTTTATCTGGTGATATACTCCCCCAAAACCCTAAATGTCCTTTCAGCAGAAATGAAAAGACAAAATACTGTAGCTGCTGACCTGGAAAAAAAAAAAAAACTTTTACTTGGATTAACCTCCTAAGTTGTTTAACATTCCAAAATTCCCTAGCATATATATATATATTTTTTTTTTTTTTATTATTATGCAACTCTATCATATTGTATACAATTGTTGGGTTTTGATTTGCATCGGTTTAAGTGGGATTGCTTTGTGAATGAGTCAGTTGTCAATTATCTTATTTAAAGAGATAAAATAAAAGAAAAAAGTCCCTCCAAATGTTAAACTGATTTTCCAAGGAAAATGAATGGAACACTCCCAATGGATACCACTTCTCACTGAGCATTGTAATTAAAATTTAGTTTCCTGCTTGTATACTTTTAATTAGTTTTAGCTGAGATTTTCTTTCAAATTCTTTTCAACAATCTTTCTGGATGTAATGGTTTGCCAACAGTGTAGTCTTTTGGTTTGGGACTTTCTTAGATAAGTATACACTGAAATTAAAATTGTATTGTTCAAATCTTATTTATTTTAATGTCTACCTATTTATTTTCACATGTAATAGGCAAACTGCTGAGCATGCTCAAATAACTGATATTCAAACTATTTGCCAAAACACTTCAATGTGAACCAGTCACAATTTATTAAAAAAAATAAAAAAATAAATAAAAAATAAAATATATATATTCAATCCCTGAATCCCTAAATATTCAATCTTATATAAATGATTTTTAATCATCTGTTAGGCACTGTATTACAGCTGTATCAAGAGAAAAAGATAAAAAAGAAAACTGAATTATTACAGTGCTGCAATTTATAGATTGTAAAAATGATCAATAGATGTGCTTTCTTCACTCACATGTCAAGTTATTTTGCTTCTGATTTTGAGTATCTTTAATTTGCAATGAAATCTTTTTCCATTTTGACATCAAGAAATAGTTGCAGTGATTGAATTGAGAATTAATTTTCTTAATCGGTATCTTATCAATTTCTTCAAAAAGAATTAAGTTAAACCTGTTTTGTTAGCTATCATACATTTTGAGTAGAGGTGTCACTACACTCTACTTGTGTGTAAAATCTCACTATCATTTTTTTAATTCACTTAAATTTATTGTTTCATTGGGTTTTATATTTTTGTATTGGATTCTGGTTAAATTACCAACTTCTAGCCATTTCAGTGGTGCATTGTCCAAACATTTTCTTTTTAAAACTGCTTTGAGGTTTTAAAAAGTTCTGGACTGATGAGATTATTCCCACTGTTATGTTGTAGAGAGGATAATTTTTATGAGGCCTTTTAATTACATATTGTGATATGCAGCTGTAAAACAAGAATTTGCATTAATTGTAAAGAATATTAAATATTCCAAAATATTTATCTATTCAGTGGAATAAGGAACCTGAAGGCAATGATTTTATATTCTATATTCAGAAATTTGACTAGTTCAAATGCTACTCTTATCGAAACAATCATTTTTTTTTTTTCACTGAATTTAATTTTCCTCTAAGATATAGTGGAAACTAAGCAAAAAGAACTTGGTTTTGTTACAGATATAATCCAGATATCTCTTCAGTTATAAAAAAAAAAAAATAAATAAAAATATTCAACTATTAAAGTTATAAGAACAATGGTTGACTCAACTATTAAGCCCATGGCAGGAGGTTGAAATTAAATGTCCATTGTTTTTACTTGAGATTTAAGAAAAAAATTAGTGAGCTGATGTTAGCTCTTGTCCTTTCCCAATCTCTTATGCTTAGTCCTGAATATTGATGATGATGACAACCATCTCTACTCACTGTTAAAAGCTGTTTGGTTTGACACCGCTTTAGGTGTGCTGCATGTGTATCCTTGTTTCCACTGGGTGAATCATCCACATCGTCAAAATTACTAAACAACCAAGACTCCAAGGACGCGCTAATATGTTAGGAACCTTTTTTTTTTTTAACAATTTAAAAACTGAATTCAGTAATGGACCAACATATACCATATATGAAAGTGTATCCTGCTTGTGTTGTCATGTTTGAAAATAAAGCTGATCTATTGATTTTTTTCCTGTGTTATTTTTTTTTCTTGGGTATTGAAAACTGACAATAATTCAGTGATGCCTCAAGTGCTTCTTTGGTAAATGAATGATTTTGTAAGGTACTAACTTTAACCCTTCATTTTGCCAAAAGATTCTCATTTTCTTCTAGGATATTACAGTTGTGTGATAAACATAAAAAAGTCAGAACTTTACTCAATCCTTTTAATTTGCTTGCAAAATAAAATTGCCTCTTATATAATGTCTATATGAGCCTGGCACAATCATTTAAGAATTATTCAATATCAGTTTTTAACAAATGTTGATCTATTACTCATCTAGCTGTAGTGGTTGGTTCAACTCTACATTACAGACCTATTAAGGGTAGGGCTAGTCATTCTATTTCCAAAGCAACACATTTTATTTTGGTTTGCAGTAATTTGCTTAAGAAATTTAAGTTTTTCTTTTTTTTTTTAACTTTTACACCTAGAATAACATACTTTAATTAAATAAGCTAAAGATTTTTCTTTCCTTTGGACTATATTTTGCTTACTGCAAAAATGAACATTTAGGAATCTATAATAATGCTAACATTTTTCACTTACAGTAAATGCGCTAATGATAAACTTAATTTTCGGGGTATAATCTGTATTTCTAACAGGTTAAAAAAAAAAAGTTAAATTTTACCAGTCTTTATACCATAATGTAATTTTATACTGCCAAAAAGAAAAAAGCAGCCTAATTTTGCTTGATCTGAAAGTTAATGTTTACGGCTTTCCTTCCTTGATTCTGTTTTTACAGAAAAAGAATCCAGTTATTTGTGACAATTTTCTTTATATTTGACAATGTTTTTCAGTAATTTTCTTTCAAAAAAAAAAAAAAAAAAAAAAAAAAAAAATGCAAATGTAATACTTTTTCATTTGTTTTGTAGTATAAAAAAAACTTAATGTTATAATTAAATTCAATATCTTTAGATTTTTGTACACCTTGTTTATAACACTAACCCTGTTGCTAAACCACAGCTAAAATTCAATTTTTTTTCTAGGTAGTTCTGTAATAAAGTATATTAGTTAAAATAAGTTAGTTACTTCCTTTCTAAACAATAAAATAAGTGTTTCATGTCATTGTTCCAGAATTCAGATAAGGTTTTTTGTTTTGTTAAAAAGCTTCAAAGCTGATCACAACTTTCATAGACTTTTGTATAATGAAAACGTTTTTGCTTAGCAAAATTTTAACATATGGATTGTCTTTTACCAGAAATTTTGGCAATTTTGTTTCATCATTTACCAGTATTCAAATCAAAAAATACATTTTGATTTATTTAAACTTTCAACATGTCATTATTCTCAAGTGTTGGGCAAAAGGTTTTCTCTCAATATTTATGAAATTCAGACATTTTAAAATACAGCTTCAGTTCTGGTTCTGAATTCCACCACTGTTGCATAGAACAATGGTTCATTCATATTTTTTTTTAAGGACTTTGTTATACAAATTATATGACAACTTAGATTGTTTTTAAACAAAAAAAGTTGCATATAACTTATTTTGAACCTGGGAGAAGGAGGGGAATTTCAAACTTTTTTTTTTTTTAACAAGAAACCAATTTGATCCACTTTAATATTACACTAAAAAATTGATATAGAATTGGAGTTTGTTTCCACTAAACATAAGTGTGTGTTATATATATATATATATATATATATATATATATATATATATATATATAATCCTTTAGTTTTACAATTTCCAACCAAGACAAATGTACTGAAATATATTACCAGAATAAGCAGTGAATTTATCTGTATGCATTATGTATATTAAAGTAACCAGTACTAGGATTTGAACCACCAGCCAAATGAAGAGTAAAAATAGAATTTTCTTTCTTGCTTTCCCTCACGCATGCACATATAAAAAAAATGAGAGCATGCACACATTAAAAATTGATAATTTAACCTGAAATATCTAGGTCCTATCAGCTTATATTTAGCTTCAATTCCATTTTGAAAGTGGGAATCTTATGAAGATGTCTCTACTCGGTAATCTCTTATGTAATGTTATTTTCATTTAAAAAAAAAAAAAATTTTTTTTTTTTTTTTTTACAAACAAGAAACTTATAGAATATGCCACCAAAAGTAAAAATAATCACAATGCCTTGATTGTATCATTGAAGACAACAGGAAAAAAAAAAAAAAGAAAAAAAAAAAAAAGAGAGAAGGCAACTTTTTATTTTAAGCATCTTGGGAATAAGCAGTTTCCTGATTGTGTAGGTTAGCCCGAAGTATATGCATTTGGTCCATAGCATTTGTTAGTACTGGGCGCACAGAATTGATCTCCATTAAAGTCAGGTGGTTCAGCTAGAGAAAATAAACAAAAATCAAAGTTTGTTTAATTTAAAAAAAAAAAACAACCCCCCCCCAAAAAAAAAACAAACAAACAGTGAAAAAATTAAAATATTAAATAAAACTGGTTATTATGACACAATCACTTGAAACTAGCATATATATATATATATATATATATATATATATATATATATATATACACACACACACACACACACACACACTGGGTGTAACAGCAAAATTGTTCAAATCATGTAACATAATGAGATAATTGTCCATACCACAAAATGTCATAACATAGCTTCTCTGACTCATATGGCAATTATTCTGATGATCTTCCTAAATAGACTTTAGGAAGGTCCAAAAAAATACAGCATCTGAAAATCATTTTTGGAGTTTAAAAAAAAAAAATTAAAAAAAGAATCATACCACCCTGCATATTGTTTTCAATACATGAATAATTTTAAAAATAGACTTGCAGAAGGTTAGAGAATACATCAGTCAAAATGTATTTAAAAAAATAAAATCAAACAAAGCTGAGGATACATTAATTCCACTATTTTTTTTTCAATTAATGGAAATTAATGTCTATCTACATAGAGATCAATAATGGATTATAAAAAAAAAAATCCATTGCTTAAAAAGGTAGAGAACTTAAATATGCAGAATTATATTTTTAATAATATTAATATGGATGCTTTGTAAAGTAATCTATATATAAAATTCTGTGACTTCTGTTAGTCTGTCTGTCATACCCTCTAAAATAGCCATACATTGAGCGATCAAAACTAAATTTTTGGGACAAATGCAAAAATTTAAGGGGGTATAAAGTACAGTTGGTTTTACTAAGGTGCATAACTTTGTACAATAAATTTTCATTAGTTTTTTTGGGAAAAATTAAGTTTTATTATTTAACAATGTACTCACTATTTTAAAAAAAAAATTGATTAAAATAAATATTTAATAATTTTGTCCTTTTTCATATCTCAAATTTTTATATTTCATCGATTGGTTTGTGAAATTGAACAAAATGCAAGGTTTGTAAATCTTGTCAAAAAATGTTAGTGATAACTTTAACAATACTAAATACCATGAAGCTTTACTGGTAGTTAGGAAATGTTTGAGATGAATGTACTATCATATGTTCAATTGTCATTGTGTGCCTTAATTAAGATAAGTTTAAAAAAAAAATGAAAAAAAAATGTATCTACTACTGATGTCAAGTGTTCAAACCAGTTGAAAAGCAAGAATTGCAGATGTTGATTTTCAAAGCAAACAAGACTTTTTCACTGACATAACAATCTATGTGCCTGTGTCATACTAAGCTGTTTTAAATATCACATCTTTAAAATCATACAGAAACAAAATTATCCCATATTAATTGGGTTAGAATTTGTTAACTTATTCATAATTAGGAAATAATTAAAGCAATCTCAAGATAGAAGCTTGTTCTTTGAGCTGAAATATTAGTCAAAAGTTATCTGACCTGCATCTGTTTAATCCATTAATGTCCATTGTAAAATCTGGTTTTAAAACTTATATTCAAAAATTGTTTCAGAGGATGAAAAACAAAATATGCAAATGTTATCCATTATGTGTTAAGAAAGCATTAGTTTTAATGAATATATTCAAAAAATTATATCTAAGATGTTATCTTTAGTGGTTGCTGGAACAATGCCTTTTCACTGGACCATTTCTGTGATGTGGAGAGTAGGGTACCTACTTCATGGGTAACCAGTCTGCCCTTCTATCTACGCAAACCTTGAGCACTGAAGAGACAAACAGAAGCAGTAGTCTAGACACTGCATCTGAAACATCATTGTTGAAGATTGGCAGATACTGAATGTAAAATCTGGTATTAACTCTAGAAATAAAATTCAGGATTAATTATGGATTTCTAATTATGAGCCATTACATTATGAGCCATTTTTGGGACAGTGGGCATTTATGGGTTAAACTCAAACTGATGTAGTTCTCTTACCAGAGAGTGGAGGGTGTTCATTTGAGTCACAGTCAACTCAAGATAGACAAACTTTATCAATCCATATACACAGAATATATTCCAAGAATTCCATTAAATTCTTGTAATTTTTTCAGTTGTATTATCATCATTATTATAATTGTGTTTGAATGAAAAAACGGGAGAGAGAGAGAGGGGGAGAGAGAGAGAGAGAGAGGGGAGAGAGAGAGAGGGGAGAGAGGAGAGAGAGAGAGAGAGGGGAGAGAGAGAGAGAGAGAGAGAGAGAGAGAGAGAGAGAGAGGGAGAGAGAGAGAGAGAGAGAGAGAGAGAGAGCGAAAAAAATACAAAGAAATTTTTTTTTCTTTCAAGGGAATATTGCATTAATTTTTTGGTGATAACCATGAAATTTTTCCATATACAAGTCTTACTATTTAACTCATACCAGGGGGAAGAGATGGATTTATACCTTTCTCCAGTGTATTTGCATGTAAATGAATTCAATGAACCTAAGCGAAATTCAAACTGTCCTTCAATTTCTCATTTCAAGTCATTACTCATTATACCATCCACACATGTGATGAATACGAGAGAGAGCTCTTCCAAGTTGCAAGCAACCCATAAGAAAACATGGAAGTATCCATGCTTAGATCATCAATACTGGCTTGGGTGAATACAGCAGCAAGGCCAGATAAGGTACTAACAGCTTTAGGCAATATGAAGTATTGATAAATAGAATCTACAATGGTGACAAAATACTGAACAGCCTCAGTAGATCAATCTTAAGATCACTGCCAAAGAAACCAGGAACAAATGAATATGAACTCCACTAAACAATCAGCCTGAGAAATAGCAAGAACAGTGAAGTTTTGATCAAAACACTGGAACAAGAAATATTTTTATGATCAGAATGAGCAATACAGAGACAGAAAGATCTTCACCTATGTTTCATAGATTGCATAAAGACATTTGATAGAGTAAGACACGCTTTGAAATATTATGAAAGCTTGATTTACAAGGAAAAAGAGATTCAAGTAATCTATAACCTCACTGGGTTCATTTAACCTGTACAGTGAGATGATTCTAGAAAAGACCAACCAGGGTTTATTATTGGAAGACATAAGTTTAACAACATATGTTACACAGATGACAGATTCAGAAAGTAAACTGAAAGAACTATTGGATAAGCTAATTGAGGAAAGCAAGAAGAAAGGACTAACTATTAATTGTAACAAGACAGAATGCAGGGTTGTCAGCAAAAGAGACAACCGAAGCTCCATATTAAGAATGTCAAAAATCAACAACGAAATTTAGCTATCTGTATTGTGTAGTAATGGATGATGGAAAGTGTGAGACAAATTTGAAAGCATAAACAAAGGAAAAGTGAATGATGCCTTTCAGAAATTGAGCAAAATATTGATGGATTGGAAGATATTCTTAGAAACAAAGGAAAGCATGCTGGACTTCTGTGTAATATCTAATCTCTTATATGGCAGTGAATGTTGGAGAATTTCTTCAAATTTTAATGCCTCCAAAATCTAAATTTCTCTCTATTATAAGATGGTAACCTCCAGGAATGTGACACCTCGTGCCTTCTTGGGCTAACGTTTTCAGCTAACATGAAGTGGAAAGACTATATTGAATCCATAGATAGGTCAGCTGCTAAGAAAGTTGGTTCACTGTGTTGTGCAAGACAATTTTTCTCTCCAGAATCTTACATATTCATCCATGCTTATAATATTGCTGCCACATATGGCTCAGTGCCACTGCGATTTACCTTAAGCTCCTTGATAAAATCCAAAGATGAATCTGACACCTCAGCTTCAGTCATTTTCCCACTGCTGTAAGGTTTCCTTTCTTTGCCTTTTCTATAAATAATTTCATGGTAATTGTTTGGATGTGCTCTTTGCTATGACACTTAGGCTTTATGAATTTAAGTGCAGTACTAGATTAGCATCGAGATCTCATCAATTTACAGTTGAGTGGCTAGATCTTTCCAGCCAACTTTAATCTGCAAAAATTTAAATCTAATATCAATTGTATCTACTGCCCTCTGAATTACTCTTTCCTCTTCCTGCTCATTATTAAAGTTTCTGTTCCTAATTTTTCCACACCCTGTAATCCCTTGAGCCTTAGTGGCTTTACTGCCTTGCATAGGGTGATACTGATAATAAAAAAAAAAAAAAAAAAAAAAAAAAATGAAAAGGCAACTTAAAGTGATGGGAAATGAATGCTGAAAATATGGCAAGAACATCTGAGAGATCAGGAAGTTTTAAGGAGAATAGTAACTTATAAAGAAACTGCTTGGGACACATTGAACAAAGAAAGCTTAGCAAATTTAATCCTCACAATGTATAATTAAAAGGAAAAAAGTAGCAAGTAGTGTACTGAAAGAGTAAAGTTAAAGCAGAACAAGTTACACAAAAACCAAAATGGTGGAGATAAAGGGAGCAGGTGTTACTTAGAAAAGGCAAAAAACTTTGGAGAGTCGTGATTATAAAAGAAAGCAAGATGATTTTGTCAGCTACTAAGAATCAGCCAAATCTTTGCCAAGTCCCTGTATACCAAAGATGGAATATCCTAACAAATATCTGAGAGAATAATACTTGTGCTTCTGAAATGCTTAATAAACTGAAACCCTTATTCATTCTTTTTTTGTTTTTTAAAAACATTTCACTCCAAGCAAGGTGATAAAACCACTAAGACACAAGAGGGTCACTGGAAGTGAAAGAAACCGAGAAAACAATTGAGGAGAAAGAATAAAAAAAAAAAAACAAGATTCAAAAAGACAGATGACAATGTTGCATTTAAATTTAAAACAGTACAATGATGAAATGTAACAGCCAATCTAATATGGTGCTTAAATATACCAAAGAGGAAAGCTCTCCAAAACACCTGCCATGAAAATATTTATAGAAAAAGCTCAGGGAAAAAAGCCAAGATACCAGATCAGGGCTGATAATATTTCAGATTCTTGTTTTCTGGATTTTGTCAAGTATCTCTCGATACATAGCAAAAGCATCAAACTAAATATAGCAAGATGAGCTTCATTCTTTCCAGGAATTCTAAAATTCCTATTCTATAAAAAATTTAAGTAAGGCTCAACAAAAAGTGGTTGTTGGGAAATGACCACTGACAAAGTGCCTAGGGTAACTTTAGGATTATATCTGGAAAATATTTAACAGCATTTTACTTAATGCACATACAGAGGGGCAAGTGAAAAAAAAAATCATTTAGAGCTGATTGGGGTGTGCTAATGTATCTATGAAAAGATTGTAAACAACTGGAAATTTACCTTAGCATGTGTAGCTTCACTTTTTATTAAAGTGTCAATACTGCTCCGTAGTTTGGCCACTCGAAGGTCCCAGATATCTTTGATTAAAGTTTTAACTTCATCAGCTTTTGGAATATCTTCTTGGGCACTAAAAATAAATACAAGGATATTTAAATCATAATTGTTAAATCTTGAAAGGAAAGAAAATAAAAAAAAAAAGGACAAAAAAGACAAAGAAAAAAAAAAAAAGGACAAAAGACAAATAAAAAAAAAAACAAAAAGACAAAAAAATAAAAAAAAAAAAAAAAAAAAAAAAAAGGACAAAAAGACAAAGAAAAAAAAAAAAAAGGACAAAAAAGACAAAAAAAAATAAAAAAAGGACAAAAAGACAAAGAAAATAAAAAAACAAAAAAGACAAAGAAAATAAAAAAGGACAAAAAAGACAAAGAAAATAAAAAAAAAACAAAAAGACAAAAAAATAAAAAAAAAGGACAAAAAGACAAAGAAAAAAAAAAGGACAAAAAAAAAGAAAATAAAAAAAGGACAAAAAGACAAAGAAAATAAAAAAAACAAAAAGACAAAGAAAAAAAAAAAGGACAAAAAAGACAAATAAAAAAAAAAAGGACAAAAGACAAAGAAAATAAAAAAAAAAGGACAAAAAGACAAAAGAAAATAAAAAAAAAAAGGACAAAAAAAGACAAAGAAAATAAAAAAAAGGACAAAAAAGAAAAAAAAAAAAAAGGACAAAAAGACAAAGAAAATAAAAAAAAAGGACAAAAAGACAAAGAAAATAAAAAAAAAGGACAAAAAGACAAAGAAAATAAAAAAAAAGGACAAAAAGACAAAGAAAATAAAAAAAAAGGACAAAAAGACAAAGAAAAAAAAAAAAAAAAAGGACAAAAAGAAAAGAAAATAAAAAAAAGGACAAAAAGACAAAGAAAATAAAAAAAAAGGACAAAAAGACAAAGAAAATAAAAAAAAAGGAAAAAAGAAAAAAAAAAAAAAAAAAAGGACAAAAAGACAAAAGAAAATAAAAAAAGGACAAAAAAAGACAAAGAAAATAAAAAAAAAGACAAAAAAACAAAGAAAATAAAAAAAAAAGGACAAAAAGACAAAGAAAAAAAAAAAAGGAAAAAAAAAGAAAATAAAAAAAAGGACAAAAAGACAAAGAAAATAAAAAAAAAGGACAAAAAGACAAAGAAAATAAAAAAAAAGGACAAAAAGACAAAGAAAATAAAAAAAAAGGACAAAAAGACAAAGAAAATAAAAAAAAAGGACAAAAAGACAAAGAAAATAAAAAAAAGGACAAAAAGACAAAGAAAATAAAAAAAAGGACAAAAAGACAAAGAAAATAAAAAAAAAGGACAAAAAGACAAAGAAAATAAAAAAAAAGGACAAAAAGACAAAGAAAATAAAAAAAAGGACAAAAAGACAAAGAAAATAAAAAAAAAGTACCAAAAGACAAAGAAAATTAAAAAAAAGTACCAAAAGACAAAGAAAATTAAAAAAAAGTACCAAAAGACAAAGAAAATAAAAAAAAGGACAAAAAGAGAAAGAAAAAAAAAAAAAAAGACAAAAAAAATAAAAAAAGGACAAAAAGGAAAAAAAAAAAAAAAAAAAAGAAAGAAGGAAAAAGGAAAAAAGAAAAAACAAACAAAAAGGTTCTAATTTTAACCACCTTTCCCAGAACAACTGTGTTTGCTGTTTTCTTGTGGGAAGGTGTTTCAAATAATTAGAACTTTTCTTTTTTTCTTTTTTGAAACTAATTTAACTTAAATTTTCGTACTCACAGATGTATGAAATTCCAGAAACATTTGAAGTTAATTCCAATTCTGTTTTTGAATATTTCCGGATGCAGATGCAGTACTTTAAATTGACAAAGTTAACATAGCTTATAAACAAAAGTGAGAGTAGTATATATTTTGAATATTTGTGAGGTGTTTTGTTAGAATGGTGATTTATTTTTCCCTTTTTTATTTTTAAAAACAAATTTCAATGTTCATACCTACAGTAATATTAAAAGTAACAATAAAAGCATGGCAAGAGCAGCATAGATGAAAAAAAAAAGTAAAAAAAGAGACTTACTGTTTAAGCAAAAGTTGAGCAATTTCAATGTAATGAGGACATGGCATCTTAGTAAAGAGTTTGCTGTCAATTTCTTCTTGTTTTTTCATCTGCAAATCCTCTGTACCAAGAGATATATTAAAGAATATTACAGCTCAGTCAAATTGGGGATCTCTGTAGAAAATGCTCTGAAAAGTAACAGAACCATAGCAAGAATTACACGACACTAATTAAAGTATCAAAGCTGTTTCTGCTAAATAATTTCTTGGTCTCATGTTTCCCACTGACGTCAAGTGGAGTGACCATATCAAATCAATTGCTACATCCACTACAAGGAAAGTTGGGTCACTGTGTCGAGCCAGAAATTTTTTTCTCCTCAGATCCCATCTTGCACATTTATAAATCTACCATTCATCCATAGGCATTGAATATTGCTGCATTATCTAGTCTGGTGCTCTGGCTATATATCTCCAGATTTTTGACAAAATCCAAAGAACAGTCTGTAATGTTATCAGTCTTGACATGGCATCTTGACTTCAGTCATTTTCCCACTCATGTAATGTAGCTTCCCTCTGTCTTTTCTATAAATATTTTCATGCCAGTTGTTCTAATGAGCTCTCCTCCTTGGTTACTAGTCTGTGAATTTAAGCGTACTACTAGATCTCATGGTTTTACTATTGAAATAATTAGATGTAACCATTAAGTTCTATTCTAATAATTTCTTTTCTTGCACTTCTCACCTCCAGAAATCATCCAGTTTCTTGTTTCACTGCCAGCTACAATCTTCAAAAACTTAAATGCAATGACAATTGCCACCTTGTCTTTCTGAATAGTGTTCTTTTTATTCTCCTCACTAAAGTTCTCTTATTCACTTTCAGTGTTGTAATTACCTTGCTTCAAGTGAAATAATTGAAAAGAAAAGGTTTTTGTACAGAGGTCAATAAGAGTTTCTTCATAAAAAAAATACTTACCACTGTCGAATATTACCATATAAAACTCCCATCTTCACAATTATTTACATTTACAATATGATGGCATTAAATTAATGTATAAAGACAAGCTTCAGCTTATCAGATAATTTATCTTCAATTTGAGGGATTTAAAAAATATCAAATTAAATATCAAAAGGATATATGTTATCAAATAAGTACAGCTAAAACTTTATTCTTCTATGCCAACAATGGGAACATTCAAATCTTCTCCATAATCTAAATAACTCAATATAAACACTCGTTCAAAACTACTTTATAGCAAGAGATTCTCTGGTCATGGGAACATTGACTCTAAAAGATGTTTGCTCTTTGACAGATTAACAATGATTTCTTTACCAAAAAAAAAAAAAAAAAAAAAAAAAAAAAAAAAAAAAAAAAAACTATTCATGGCTACATACTTCATACTTTGAATTTTTATCAAATTAATTTGTTTGCACTCATCTTTGTAATGATTGAGTTTACTACCAGTGGTTATTTTGAAGCAATAGAATCAAAATATACCATTACTAAACTATGTTAACATTTTTACTTGACTCCAAAACTACAGAGAAGCACAAAGGATACAATGGAACATTTAAAGCTAAAAAAGATAATGTTTTGTTGCAATCAAGCAAGCAAGAAATAATATTTTGCATTATGGTTCACTTTTGACTAGTTTCTCAATTTATATTGCTTTTTATCACAACTCCTACAACACCATGACATGAATATAAGCAGCACACATTGGAAATATATAAATGAAAAATAAAAATAAATATGGTGCCAAAACAAAGCAAAAACTGTAAAAAAAATAAAAATAAAATAAAAAAATAAAAAGAATAAAATAAAATTTTTTTAAAAATGTAGGAAAAAAGAAAAAAAAAAGCCAAAAATATGTAGGAAAAAAAAAAAGAAAAAAGAAGGTGCCTTTCAAAACAAAAAGTGTAAGAACAAAGCAAAAAGCATTAAAAAAAAAAAAACATAATAAAAAAAATAAAAAGTGTCAAAAAAAAAAAAAAAAAAAAAAAAAAAAAAATCAATAAAAACAAAATTTACATCCTTTTTGGTATTTTCAGATATTTTAGAAAACAAAATTGATAGACACTGTTTTTCTCTGCTTTACACTTGGATAACCAGACAATTTGCTGATTGTTTAAATCAGCAAATTGTCCTGTTGTCCCAGTGCACAAATTAGAAGCCAGTTTTAACACTATTGGACTGTTAGAGCTAGGCCTATTTCTTAACACTTAGTTTTTGTCCAACAGACCTCTAACCTAGTAACAACAATTTCTATTAATGTTACAGATTAAGGATGTTTTATCAATGGAATCTTTTGTGTGTGTGTGTGTGTCTATGGGGGGGGATACAAATGTTGGCTACAAGTTTACAAAAAGAAATGCTGAAGACACAGGGAAGCTTAGCTTTAAATTTCCAACATCCAATGGATCCAGATGCATAACCTGACTTACTTCAACTATCAGATTCATTTTATTTTTAAATATTGCACATTGTAATAGAATAAATCAAAAGCAGTGGATGGGTAAGGGATTGGAGATTGCCTAACTAAATATTTTGTTTGAACCACCTGCAGCCCACTCTCAAACATGATATATATATATATATATATAGTGAGCAATTTAGAACATTGCTTGTTAGTAAATCCAAAAAGTTTTGTCAGTATTGGGTCACAAAGCCATTTTGGAGAGTGAAATAAAAAAAAAAAAAAATATCCAGCAATAAATTTATTTTTGTCTAAGTATGATCACAGAATCATAGCAAAACTCACATCTTTCCTTAAACAAATGAACCTATTCAATTATACAGAAATATTTAATCAATTTAAATAAATTTATATCATTGAAAAGAAGTAAAATGAGAAAAATCTCATAAAAAATTCATTTTTGTATTTCTGAGTATTGTAACTATTTACATTGTTTGGACTGCTGTTATTTCATGTTGTCCTTGGGGACACATGGACCAGTAGATAAAAGCGTTGGTTAATTGATCCAAAAATAACTTGACCCAAAGAGTTACGAGTTCAATATCTGGCCACAGCAGAGTCAACAAAAACTTGGAGATATCCAAAGGCATGTCACATAGAATTAGAACAATCTACCCCCGTAGACTAAATAAAGGGTTTGGTTCAAAATTCCAACAAATATCACTTGAAGAAGGCTGGAGTGTACAACAGCCGAAACCTCGGGAATATGGCCATAAAGTTAAGGACTACAGTCCAAACAATGTAACCAGCAGTGAATCAACTTTCTTAGGAGCAGACAGCAATGGATTCAATATAATCTTTCCACTTCATGTGGAGGTTAGAATCAGCCATGCTGATGGGTGGCAGAAAGTGGTCACTCAGATGATTAATAGAGAGCATAAAATAGATGTAATTCGCTTGACCACTGAAGGCTTGTGTTTGAAAATAGAGCGTCTCTTTTGCCATGTCTACCTTTATATACATGTCATGTCACAACACAAGTCCCATAATCCATTAGGTCAGAAGGGCACCATATGTACTGCAGCTGTAGTAGAAGTGGTGTGTCCAGGGCAAGACAGCCTGACAGAGTCCATTCCTTCTCAGGCTGGTTTTGATTTAAGAGTTTTCCTTCTCATAGACTGGTTGCCATTTCAAAGAAAGAAATCTTAGTCTGCCCTGCTACTTAAACCATAGCAGGGGGGGGGGGATTCATGCCTTTTTCAAGAGTATTGGTGTGAAGTGAATAGAACAGAATTAACCAGAAATTGAATTTCATCTCCAGAGCCAATGACCATTACATCACTGGCACATCCAATAATACACATGCACATACAAATATAATTCTACATATACAAGCCATAATGTTACTTACCAACATTCATCCAACTAGGAGGCAGAATACGGGCACGCCTTCTTTGTTTGAAATTAACAGCCAACCACAGTGGAACAAGTGTAGGCATTCCAGCTTCAAATGGACCAAACTCACCCTGAAAAGAAAAAAAAAAAAAAAAAAAAAATGGTACATTACATGTCTACCCAGGATTGGAAACCTTAAAGATTTAGCAACAATAAACATTTTAAATGTTCAAGCTAGAATTATTTTTTAAAAGATCTGAATTTTTGAGGCAAGGAATTATCTGATGTCAAATTTTCTCTTGTTTCCAGTTGACATATTCTTTAGTTTTGCTCATCAATGTGCCCACATTTAAAGTTGCTAAAAAAAAAAAAAAAAAAAAAAAGGCTGAGGGGAACTATGGTCAGATGCATTCCGAGTCTAGCAACAAAGATGAGTGTGTTGATCAGAACAGCAAGGCATTTTTTTTTTATTATTCAACTGATGTTTTCTTTTATAATTTTTCTTTTTTATCTATGAATTGCAGTGACTTCTTGAGAAGTATAGAGTGGTTTCATGTTGCCTTCTCCACAATTTTGAATTCAGTGTTGTTCCACTAGATTTTCTTTGGAGGTACCTACTTTGGAGATATCTATTTTAACACAACACAAAAGGTAAGAATGTGCTTTAAATTAGGTACTTCCATTGCAACTCTGCTGAAAAAAAGAGCACATCATGATGAAAAAGCCCCCTAAAATGGGCACATTTATGCACATACAAAAAAAAAAAAAAAATTTAAAATTCTTTTAAAAATATTGGTGCTTGAGATTTTGTACTAAGCTTTTCCATTTGTTAATAAATATAGTTTATACTTAATATATACTAGAAGGGTGAAATTAATACAGAATTGTAAAAGATTTAAAACTTAAATTATTCAAATTAAAAAAAAAAAAGAAAAAAAGAACAGTTCTTGTAAAAATTCATTATTATTCACTAATTTTTTTAAAACAATAGTGTCCTTATTTAGAAAAGCAATTTAAAAGCTCAATGTCATAGTTTTATTGCATTTACAAACTGCATCAGAGCAGATTTTCGGTAACTGGTGTTAAGTATGACAAAAAAAAAAAAAAAAAAAAAATTTTTAAATTTCCCAAGGAGTCCAGTTTTTGAAGAGGGTGAAATTTTAATTTCTTGAAATTTCAGAAAATTAAGGGTGAAGTAAAAAAAAAAAAAAAAAAGGCCTGAAAATTTAATTAAAATCCGACAATTATTTGAATTTTGCAAGAATTTTCAAATCAATGTTATTTATTTACTGCAAAAAAAAGTCCTCATTTTGGACTACCCGTTGACGCAAGAAAAAACAATTTTAAACCAAAATTTCGCACGTACTTGAAAGGAATAAAAAATTTAATAAAATAATCAAAAAATACTTCTTAATAATAACAATTATAACAAAATATTTTAATGATAAAACTTTGTTTTTATCAAGTTTGGGGGTTCTTTTTTCATTATGGTAGACTTTTTTTCAGCGAATCACTGGAGGTACGTACTTGAAGTGAACTTATTGCAAATTCTTGAAATAAACTAAAATAGCTACTTTTTAAAAATACCACTGTTTTGCTATTTATATTCAATTACAAACCAAATTAGCACACATTTTTTTTTACACAACCGTAATAATAAAAAAAAAAAAAAAAAATTTTATTACCAGTATTTTTTAAAGTTTAACTTTAAGTGTCATACTGATATTATTTCAGTTTAGAAGTTATGACAGCTAGAAAATTAAAATCACCGTTTTAAATTTTTTTATAGACATTCTGAACTAAAATCAAAATTGTTATTTACTTGAAAGTTTGAAACAATAAAAGTAAAAAGCATTTTTTCCTATGCTTTTCTTCCTGCAATTGATATTATTTCAGTTTATGAAACTATATTTAGAGAAGTTATAACATTTTAAAAATCACTGCTTTATAAGAATAAAATTAAGATTATTACTGCTTTATAAAACTAAAAAAGCTTGAGGTAGTTCTAAGATACCCCCAAAAAAGGATAATCCCAACTTGGTCGTGAGGAAATTTAATATGCGATTATCTTCGATACTTTCTCAGTGTTTACAGTTTAAAAATGTAAATTGTAAAAGTTACCGTTAAAAGTACACAACTACGGTGTTTCACCATGTCAGAAAATATTTTTATATAAATAAACGAAATGCAAATTTTTCAGTTATAATTTTACCGTTTTATTTTTAGTTTTCAATACTTAATGAAAACGACTTGATTAATTTTTAACACGAGAAATTTTGAAAATAGCAGCGAAAATATGAAGTTTGGAGAATCACTTTCTTCATTCAGTCAACCAATAAATAATTATTTTTCACCTGCTTAGCTTACTATAAGCACATTTCTTCATTTATGTAAAAAAAAAAAAAATGAATTCTTTCTAATATTTCATCAATTTCAATTCAACAGAAAATCAATCCCCAAACAAAATAATTTAATAACTTTTCTTTTGACAATTCTTTCAAAAGTTAGTTTTTAGTCTCTACCTGAATTAGATAAATCTTGGGGTATGTGAAATTCGGTTCGATTTCTACAAGTTCTTTCTCTGCAATGAACTCCACTTCGGCAGCAGACATTCTGCAATCAATTGAAGAAATCATATTGGAGGGTATAAATAAGAAACTTCAAATATCCATGACAAAAACGTCAGCAAAAAATAAAATGTTTAACTCTTCGGATGTTCTTTTTCGCGGTAAAATCTTGCGTCACATCCGGTACCGTTTTAGACAACAACCACGTGTTCGACTCGTTATTTGTTTATGTTTATCAAGATGACTTTTTTTTTTTTTTTACTTAGTTTTTAATCTAATTACAAATAAATTCTTGATTTATGGAATATTGAACTTTATGAAATAAAAACAATTTTCAGTTTAATAAATTTTATTACAGACTAGGCTCTTATTCCAAATGTATTGCATTTTGGAGATATGTGAAAAAAGAAGAGTGAGCGAAGAAAGAAAGACTATTCAATTGAGAACCTACCTTTTACAACCGGTATTATTAGTAAAAAAAATTGTTAGATGGTCGACTTCCGATTCTGTGTCTATTATTTTATCACTTGTTACTTCAACTTCTAATCTAATTCGATAAACGTCTAGAATAGGGGAAATAAAATAGAAGCCATAATTCGCAACTTAAAATTTATAGGTTGTCCCACAAAAACGCTAAAAATAGACTAGAGCATAGCGTGATAAAAACGGCCTTAATCTTGATGAAAACAATTTTTTTTCGTCTAAATATTTATGTTACTAAGAGGAAGAACCATTAAGTATTTTATTAGTTTTTTTTTTGGCAAATTTTCATTTTAACACCCGAGCGTCATTCACTGCTGAACTATTTTCTTTCAGAAATTAGTACGCGCTTCCGTGAAAGCGTTTTTTTTTTACTTAATTTAAGAAGAAAGTTAACTTTCAGATATATGTAAACATCGACAAATAAAAGAATAACAAAAGAAAAAAAAAACACCTAACCCTAATTTGAAAGTTAACTTTCTTCTTAAAAAAAATAAAAGAATAACCAAAAAAAAAAAAAAACAAAACAAACCCACCTAACCCTAATTTGAAAGTTAACTTTCTTCTTCTTAAAAAAAATAAAAAATAAAAGAATAACAAAAAACCCCCACCTAACCCTAATTTGAAAGTTAATTTTCTTCTTAAAAAAATATTACTTTGTTATTCTTTTTTTTATTTGTCGATGTTGACATATATTTGAAAGTTAACTTTCTTCTTAAATTAAGTACAAAAAAAAAAAAAAATAAATAAATAAAATCGCTTTATGGAAGGGCGTACTAATTTCTACAAGGAATTACTGTGAAGGAAGTAAATAGGCCCAAATTGTATACGTCCACCAACAAAATTCAGCACAGAATTGCTTATCAATAAGCCGGTAATGGCTGACGAAAAGACCAGGTAAAAGTCCGATTTTTTTCGGATCATTAAACGTCCAAAAAGGTAGGTTTCTTCAATATATAATTGTTGATTTGAGTACAGCATATACACTTGCACGGGAATAAGACTATTTTGGAAAAATTTGAAGGGTATTAGCGCTCGGGTGTTAAAATAAAAATTTACCTTTTTTTTTTTTTTTTACATTTTGTAATCCTTCGTAGCATATCTGGAGTTTTAGTTAACTTTTTTTGTAAATTTCTATTTTGTTTCCCAAGCGCTAATATCCCTTCAAATTTTTCAAAAATAGTCTTATTTCCGTGCAAATGTACATGCTAAAAACTCGAATCAACAATTAGATCATGAAGAAACCAACCTTTTTGGATGTTAACGACCAGAAAAAAATCGGACTTCTTTTCGGTCTTTCGTCAGTCATTACCAGCTTATTGAGAAGTAATTCACTGCCGAAAGATTTTTGGTGGAGTCATAAAATTTGGGTTTATTTACTTCTTTTACAGACTTTCCTTGCAGAAAATCAAAACGCACTACCGTAAAGAAATGTAAAAAAATTTTTTTTGGTAAGTTTAGTTTTAACAAAAATAAATTAAATAATACAATATAGAACCTTTTTTCCGTTTCGAATAGCAATGACAACTTAAAAGAACAAATTAAATAATAAAAATAAAGCATTTTTTGTATTGTAAAATTGAAAATAAAAAAAAATTAATGCACAAACTTAGTAAATTATTTAAATTAATGTTTTTTTTAATTTTAATTTGTCCCCTTAATTAAATAATACAATAGAACCTTTTTTCCGTTTCGAAGCGCAATGACAAATTAAAAGAACAAATTAAATAATAAAAATAAATCATTTTTTGTATTGTAAAATTGAAAATAAAACAAAATTAATGCACAAACTTGGTAAATTATTTAAATTAATGTTTTTTTTTTATTTGTCCCCTTAATTAAATAATACAATAGTTTCCGTTTCGAATAGCAATGACAAATTAAAAGAACAAATTAAATAATAAAAATAAAGCATTTTTTGTATTGTAAAATTGAAAATAAAACAAAAATTAATACACAAACTTGGTAAAGTAGAAGGGTTGATTGTATTCATTTGTTTTGAAATTGTCCCCTTTTCTACACAGAAAACCCCACCCCTGACCTTAACAACTAACCCTAAAGTTAATCTTTAGAGTTAGGTGTTAAGGTTAGTGTTGGGGTTTTCTTTCTGCGCTCGGGAAACAAAATAGAAATTTACCATTTATTTTTTTTGAGTCAGCGATCGTTTATTGTTTGTTTTTATATTTTCAAATACATTTTTTCGAAATATTCCCATACGTTAGGAGGATACTTGTTGTTGGTTTCTTTTTCTTTGAGAAAATAATTTTTTTCTAGATGAAGCCAGCTAGTCTATTGCTTGACTGAGTATGAACTAAAAAGAAAGATTCACGTTTTAAATCAACAAAATTATTTTCATGGATTATAACTTTGTAATTGTACCTGAGATCGTGTGTGTGTGTGTGTGTGTGTGTGTGTGTGTTTAGCTCAATAAGCGGACCAACCATCACTAATAATGGTCATAGAACGTTGTTCAATATATCTTTGGATGACTGCTTCTGGGCTAGAGTGCTTCTTCAGGAACAAAAAGTAATAATAAATCCTCCTCACGTATGGGAATATTTCGAAAAAAATCTTCCAAGATAGATTTGAAATCAGCAAACCATTCCTTCCATTGACTTTGTTTTGCTGATTGTTCCTTCGACATAAAGCTTGTTGAGATTGCGAAATGACTGTGCTGCTTTTCATCCTTTTTCGAAGTGGTAAAGCTTAAAGCATGATATGACGAATATGAGTATGATTATCGACACGCATTTTTATAACCTGAAAATAAAATAATATTCTTTTTAAAAAAAAAAAAATAAACAAAACAGCAATTTTTAATAACAAATAACTCGCCTACAAAAACGCTTGATAATTATGCACCCAATATTTGAGTACACGGTTATTCGGCAATAGGTAAAGTGGCTTTTATTTGTGTCGAGGCAAGTAAATGTTTGTAAACATTTACTTGCCTCGGCATTAGGTAAATATTGACCGATTATACAGGGTGAGATTGATACATTATCGTCTAAATGAGGCAATAATGACATCTCATTTATCTACAGGGTGCGATAGATAAATGGACGCAAAAAGGAAAATAACACTGACATCTCATTTTAACAGATATACAGGGCAGCAATATAACAATATTTATGCAAAAAATGAAACATAACAATGCAACAATAACATTTTAATTTAAATGATTATTCCGGAGTTTATGATTATCGACACGCATTAACCTGAAAATAAAATAATATTTTTTATTAAAAAAAAAAGTAAACAAAAAAAACAAAACAAAAAAAAACGGCAATTTTTAACTCACCTAGCTACAAAAATACCTGATAATTATGCACAACCCAATATTATGGCCGAGTTTAGTAAATTCATGTATAAGTGTCCTCCCCTTTTTTGACACTTGTAAATTTGTTAAATTCAACTCAAATTATGTCCTTTTTTAGTGACTAGGTACATATTATTGTTTAATAACATTTTATTTTCTACCTTTGTTAAGGTATTTCAAGTATTAGTTACCAATTAAAATGACATTTACTCATTCTTTTGTTGTTTGTATTTATTTTCATGAAACTATATTTTATTTAATTTATATGTTGAATAGTTTAAATGTTATGTTATCTCCATTTATGTTTTATGAGTGTGTGCATGTTTAAAAAAGGATACTTTTGTGTTTACTTCAGTTGAACCATATAATCTTTCCATAGTAGCCTGTCATCATGAGGCTGATCAAATGTTCAAGGGTAGTTTGAAGTGCACTTTGTTTGGTACTTCTTTTGACATTAGTAGTTTGAAGTGTACTTTGGTTGGCTCTTCTTTTGAGAAGTGTTTTTACTTTTTTTCAACCAGAATTATTATTTGGGCCATGCTCTGTTGATGTTGTTATATATCTTGCTGGATAATTTCTTTAAAGTATTGGTAAAAAACTTCATCTGTGACGATAAGTACAGCGCAGTTAAGAAATTCTACTGTGTTGCATTTTCCAATGGATTGCATGTAAACAGTAATGTCTTATCAAGGACAACCTTAAAAGGTACTACCACTCCGAGTCAGAATGGACCTGGGAGTAATGACAATCAAAGAGTGGCTCCACACTCGCCAAATCCCGCAAGTGGAGCCTTCTCATTGGATTTGTAATGGACCATTATGTTGACTATGGCTTTCCTTCGCAAAGTCACATCGGCGATCACCATTATGTAGATGACCGGGAGAGGGTGAAAATGTAAAGAAAACACGTGCGTTTATATTTCCTGCAAGAATGTGCAATTATAATAGAATGTTGGACTTGGATTAAGTCCAACTAAGAAAGACAAACAAACAAGACCGATCTATATAAACAAATATATGTATGAAACAAAACATTCACAAAGCACACAGAGAGCATTTGTGTGTGTGTGTGTGTGAACGTTCGTATTTTAGTGAATGTTCTTAAGGGTTCGTATTGTGGTGAATGTTCGTACGTACGTGTATGTTGGTAATGTTCCGTAACGCCTGACCGCAAGGTTAAGACGATACATTTCTGGGATACCATTTGCAGCAAGAATAGAGAAGAAGGAGAGAAAGAGGCAAACTCGTGTTTGTTTTTATAGATAATGTAA